CAAAGTGATCCAGGCCAGGAGTGATGAGTGGCCACGTGCCTCGGGGCTTCTTTCCTCTGTGTCCTAACACTCTGGAAAATAGCCTAATGAGGAGGTCCCAGTTTTAAATAGCTTCAGGGCGGGAAATAACTGTCCAGGGCAAGAAGGAGTTAACATGCTAGACAGAATCCCTAATTTACACTGGGGAATTGCCGACTTAACTGCTGGGAGCTGGCTCATTATTTTAATTGGATTTTCCAATGCGTTGAGCAAGTCAGCAGATTTGAGTTAGCCTTACTTCCAGAGAAACCGTTTCTGTCTGTAGAGAGGAGAGAGAGAACCACTGGGGCAGTAGAGAGAAGATGTCAGAATTAATGCAAGATGACAAAGCAAGCAAATTATGTCCTCGTTAATTAATCCAGTCTTGGTACATGTAGAGGTCGTGGAAGTGCCATCCATGGAGCCGCACCGCGCTCGCCTCCTCTCCCAGGCACCACTGCCTCATTGCCTTCAGCCAGGGGGCTGCTCCAGCAAGCAGCACAGCCGTTCAGGGGAGCCTGGGGGCACTCACCTACAGCCCCAGCGAGGGTACAGAGTCGTGTGGGGCAGTATTCAGGCCAGCCCGAATCTGTACAGTGTGGCCTACAACTGCAGCTGCTTTTTCTTTTTTCCTCAAGTTTCTTCCTTTCATGAGTGAGAGAGCCAGCACCCGCACAGGGTTTTCTTGCTGTGATCCTCCGGGGAGGTCTCTGGTTGTGAACCCAGAACTTTCCCGAGTGGGTCAACGTCACAGAGTGTCCCGGTTTCCTGTTACACCACCGTCCAGCCCCCTGTAACTGCTTCTTGACTCCTACTTTGGGATCAAGCCAGTTAATGAAAACAGATAAGGACCTCCCCTTTAGAAGCATATCTTTTAATGAGAGAGAGGTGATAAATCAGTCTACAAATAAATGGGATTCTTTTTTATGGTAAAGCTATTAAAGGGCTTTAAAAAAAAAATCAGTGTGCATGTTTGCTTATGAACATAGCAGGAAAATTGCCCCTAAAGTCCTCTCCAGTGGCTGGGATGATGGGGGCTATTTGTATGGTATTAATGTCTGCAATATCAAGGCACTGGTAAGGAATAAGTGGTTATTTTTATCAAAGCCAGTATTAAGTACAAGTATTTACTTAAATTTAAGTTCTTTCTGCATAATAAAAACATAGACCTCAGCCTTCTCTCCAAATTATAACACATTTCTGGTTGGGCTTTGTCTTAGTCTGTTGCTTCATTGCTGACAGATATGAAGCTGAGTGAATTGTGAAGAAATAGGGTTTAATAATGCACAGTTCTTTTGGCTGGAAAGTACAAGGACATCACAAAATGGCAGAACGCCCAATTTTTAGCAGAGCAGGGTGCACAGTCTTTATCCATCTGACTTGCTCTCAGCCTTTCTGGTCTCATTCCCTCTGTTTTCATACCCTCGGTGACTCAGTCAGAGCGACCCCACTCTGAAGACATTATGAGATTCAGGGGCCTCACTCTGGGATACCATGAAGGAATTAAGTTTTCACTTAAACTACTCCATAATACCACCAATATAGTCAAGGCTCAACGCAAGAAGTTCTGAGAGACCTCTGATCACTGCCCATCAAGGTGAAACTCTAAAACATGAAACTGGGGCACAAACCATAATCCAGATCATAACCAGCTTGATGAATGTACTGGCAGGAAAAAATCCCCTTTTGTGAAAAAAGAAATGTAAACAGGAATATATTTGGAAAGCATATACCTCTGCATGCCTGAACAATCTTCTCAAAGCGATTGTTCATGTGTTGAGTACTTCATAAAATAAAGAAGATACACTTTTTTCAAACATAACTCTTCAACTTCTTGTAGACTAGAACCATGTAAAGGACTTAGTTAATTCCACTTTATCACTGAAGGAAATGAAATGATTTGGAAGTTGTGTAAAAGGGAATAGTGAGCAGACAGTAAGTTTTTCGGAAAACGATAAGGAGAAACAGTTTGTCTACCATGTGATCTTATACTGGCCTCGTCATAGCTGCCTATGGAGGTGACATTGTTGTATTTTCAGCGTGTGGAATTCTTGCTCAGGCCATGAAAAGGGTTGTTGAAAGAAGTAGAAAGTAAAGACACAGGGAAGTCAGAGAGCTCTAGAACTGTGAAGTTGTGTGATCCACCTCTGGCCAGAACACCACCCTGACATAGCTGAGAGAGTGGGTTTCTCTTTGAGATCACCAAGGAGAGAAATTTTGTTTGGCTCTTTGGTGCGTATTTCCCAACAGTCCTCTTCAGGTTGTCTGCTTTCCTGTGTCCTCTCTGGGTCTTTGTCATGGCTTTCACGTAGTTAATGCTTCACTTGTTAATTAAGGCAATCTCCTTTGGAGTTTTTTTGAATTAACCTACTTTTTCCTAGGGACTAAAAAACTCTTTCCTGGAGTTTGTAATGTTGAAAGGAAGAAGGAAGGAAGAAATAAATTCTGTGGGCTTTTCATGTGGGAAAATTCTGAATTCATAATATGCATGCATGTTTTGTTTCCTTGGTTTCTTATCAACTCCCATGAATATGTGTGCAGGTAACAACAGAAATTATTTTTTTCCCTTAGATTTTTGCTACAGTGTGCATATGCTTGCCAGAGACATAGAGAAAGTGAGAAATTACCCCCTGAGGGAGATGGCCATGCCACAATCCCTTCTCCTCCGTTCTCTCGGGATTTTGGGGCATGCACACATACGTGCCCAGCGTGAGTTTCAAGCCACTGGGTCTGGGACTCAAACCATGGTTGTTCATGTGGGAGTCCAGCGCCTTAACCACTACACCACCTGCTGGCCCTGAGAAATTTTTAATTCTCAGGGTTTTCTATGGATGTAGCTACAGCCTCCTTCCCACCCCAATACCTCATCACAGCGGTAACATTACAAGGTTACTGGGTGTGTGGTCAGTACCTGCTTTCAATAGACTTTTCTTTCAGAATAACCCCCCACATATAGCCCTGAGCACAGGGTCTCAGATTTCCTTTATTGTTAGGATTTTGTCGTAACAGCCTTCAGATAAAGAGGACAATCACATTAATGTATTTTATTGTTCTGCTTCATTTTATGAAAGATTTGAGGTATTGATGAAAACCATAATTTAGGACTAAAAGTTAAAAGATTTACAGTCTCTATTTATTTCTTTTTATTTTAGAACCTTTCTTTCTCTGAATAAACAATATATCATGTTCTAAATTTCTTTTTTTTTTTAATGTAAAAAGCCTTCTCTTGAGCCAGCCTGTATCCTGGTGTCTGCACAAACAGGATCCTACATGGTAGATTGTGCAGTTTGAATCCGACCCAGCAGCTTGAGAAACATGCTGGAAACGATGCGCACATGCCCAACTTCCCGAAAGAAAAGCCAGAAGAGAAGGGATGGCAGCATGACCATTCCCCACGGGGGGTGCTCTCTCTCTCTCTCTCTCTCTCTCTCTCTCTGTGTGTGTGTGGGGGGGGTGGAAAGTACACACATGTCCTCTGGCAAACATTTTTAAATAAGAGGGTTACGCACCAGGTCCATCGTAGTCAGTGCAGTCCTTCCCACCTGCTCTCCCTCTGCCTCTAATGCAGCATGCAATACTGTGCTCATTGCGACCGCAGGTGGCAGACCCACTGCCTCCATCCCTGGAACGCAAGCACCCCAAGGGTAGGAACAGCATTCACTCACCTTTGCCCTCTCCAGCTCCCAGCATAGTGTGTGGCAGAGTGGCTGTTCAGCAAATGACAGACGGGTGGATGGGCAGACCAATAAACACACTTCTGTGTGCTTCCACCCATCATCCCGTTCTGTGGGTCTTGAAGCCTTGGTTCCATGTATGTAGAACTGATTTCACCAGCAGGACTGGGGATCTCCTTGAAGAAATAACTTCTCTTCGGACCTTGTTTTATTCCGTTCTTTCATACTTGGCCATCCCTCTCTGTTTCCCTACCACTCTTCTCTCCAACTGAGTGGTACCTTCATAACTTCTTTGTATAGACTTTTATTTGTACCACCTTAAAATCAAGGAGACCCAGGCTACTGCCTGAGAGTGACGAAAACACCCTCCTCCATAACTGTTGATTGTACTTCTTAAATAGCTCATCTTTAGTGGAATCTAGGCATGGAGGACACAGCAGTGGACACAGAAGCCAAGGCCCATCCCTGCCCTCATTGAGCTTATGTTCCAGCGGAGGAACCAGGATCCACATATAAACAAGCAGGGTAGTTTCAAATGATATGTGCTAGGAAAGAATATGAAAAGGAAACCATAGGACCTTTAGCGGCCTGGTGGCTAAAGCTGCTGGATTCCACATGACCAACTGTACAGTTCAAGCCCAGACCCAGCAGCTTGGAAAATATGCTGGGCACGTGTGCATGTGTGCTGAAAATCCCAAGAGGAGAAAGTATTGCAAGGTGGCCATACCCCCCCCAGCGCCCCCGGGTACAATTTCTCACTTTGCCTATCTTTCTCTTGCTCTCTGGCAAGTTCACACACCCTATGTCAAAACTAAAAAATTAAAAATTAAAATTTTAATTTCAAAATAATTTTTTAAATAGAAAGGAAATGGCAAAAGCCATTTCCTCCTGTGTAGTTTCCTTCTTACCCTGACAGAGACAGTTGAAGAAAAGTCAAATTAGTATCTACAGTTCCGGTAGAGACAGCATCAAAAGTGCCAGAATGATTGGAGGAGTCACTGCCCCTGTGCAGATGTTGAAGAGCATGAGCTCACACCAGCCCCCACTCATACGGCTGCAGCCAGCCCTCTGCTTAGGTGCTGTGCAGTTCTGCAGTGACGCCTCCTCTGTCTCTGTCTCTTCACCTGCAGGGCAGGGGCCAGTCATCCTGCCCATCCCTGGTGGTGCCAAGCAGGTTCAGTAAAATGAGGCATGTAAAGCTTGTTAGCGGAGCCCACTGTTGAAAACGCTCAGACCACAGTGCCCTTTAGTATTCTGTGTGTTTTCTCTTTTAACCATCTACCATCTTTCTTTCTCTTTGCTCGGCAGCTCCAGAATCTGAGCCACAATGTGATCTTCACCTTGGATTCCTTGTTAAAAGGAGACCTAAAGGGAGTCAAAGGAGTAAGTTCAAAAATTCGCTTTTTGCTTTAGTGGGATGGTCGATTTTTTTTTTTCTTTTTTAAGATCACAGTAGTACTTGTGTTTGAAAGAACATTGAATAAAAAATGTTCTTGGAAAATGATTGTTGGAAAAGATGTGCTACTTCACAGAAGCGCAACCAGATGAGGCACTTTCGGGAACGTTGGTGAGAGCCACATGGTTGGTAGAGGGTCCCAGCCCGGCCGGGTCTTTAGCTGCTCTGGCGTGACCACTGTGGATTGAGTCTCCCCGGGCCTCTGGGTTCTGCTTCATTGGCATGACCCGAAACTCACCTTCCTGCCCCCCTCAGGCCTCTTGTGTGCAATAAATGGTGCAATGTTCATCAAAGCCTCTTGTGTATTTCAAGTGTCTGATAAAGGAAGTCATTTTTGTCAGATGTTATTTCAAAATTACTTATTTTAAGCAAAAGTAAATGCAGTTTTGTTTTCTCTTTTCTAAGGATCTCAAGAAGCCATTTGACAAAGCCTGGAAAGATTATGAGACAAAGTTGTAAGTGGTTTTAATTTTGTTTTGTTTTTGTTTGTGTGTTTCTATCCTGTTGTAAGTTAAGTAAGAAAAGATGGGAACAGCAGTTAGCGTAATGGCTACGTCGCTGAACTCCCATGTAGTTGACCACAGTTCGAGTCCCAGACCTGGTAGCTTAAACTCACGCTGGGCGCATGTGCATGTGCGCCCAGGATTCCGAGAGGAGAAGGGAGTGAGGCGTGGCCATCAGCGTGGTGATTTCTCATTCTCTCTCTCTCTCTCTCTCTCTCTCTCTCTCTCTCTCTGTCTTTCCGGCGAGCGCACGCACCCTATAGCAAAAACTTCTCAAAGAAAAGATACCCGGTAAAAGGACAGAACCATTAACTAATAACTTCTCAACCAGAAACTATTTCATGCATCCTAGTAAGGACTGAGACGTTGGTAATCTGGCCTGCTCCAAGGCGATTCTGTCTGTTGTGCGTTGTCTGGAGTGAGAGACGCTTTTGCTGTCATTTCAGTAGTTATGGCTGCTTGTGTGAACCATCACGTTGTCAAGCTATAACCATTGGGACTTTTCTCTCATTCTAGTTAGCATATAACTTTGGGCCTTTCTGTTTTGTTTTGTGTGATTGTTGGGAAATTACGAAAGAATAGCCAGTGTTTGTGACATCTTTCCATTTGCCAGGACCTGCGCTAAGTGCGTTTCACGTGCGTGAGCTCCTATAGCAGCTGTTCTGTGCAGCTTTTACTCTGTTGATTTATTAGGGAAACTGAAGGCTGGAGAGGCCAAAGAGCTGACAGAAGATTATAACGCTAGTAAGCGTCCAGCTGGCATTCGCTCCAGGTCTGCCTGAGTCACAGCCCGGGCGAAGGAGTTGGCCCTGCCTCGTGGGTCACAGTGAGGGGTCAGGGAGCAAGCACTCTGTGGTGCCTGGCTCACCCTCATACTGTGCGAGCACACCTAGCTGTTTATGTTATCACTCCGAGGCATTTGTGACACCAGGCAGAACAATGGGGTGGGAGGAGATACATATTTTAAAGCCTTTAATAAAAGTCTTGGCTATAAATTTGAATAACTAGAAGGATAAGAGAACAAAATTATTTCTGTAGGCGGTGATAGCAGCGGGATTAAAAACAGCAGCAAAAGAAAAAACAGATTCAGGATTCAATATGATTTTTCCAAACTGCTCTCCTGCGTGCTTATATAGGAAGCGCACTGTCGAGGGCTGGCTGAAGAACATGTCTGCATGGGCAGTTATACATGTGCTAGGAACGAGAAGGCTCCGACGGCCGGCTGATGTCAGCGAGTATGGAGGGCCATGCTGTCTTTCTGTATGGAAGGTGAGGTGTGAGCCCTCACACTCGGGAGCTCAGTGCTCTCCCTGCCCAGAAGCGACTACGCCTGTCCTGAAAGTGGAATAGAACTAAGTACAGTGCTTCAGGATGGGAAGGGCAGAGTCTACACTGAAGGAAGAAAATACCTCACCCCAGTATGTCTCCTTCAGAAGCCATAGGAATGGCAAAACATACATAATGCGTGTCCTGTCAATTAAAGCACCACCAATTAGGTGGTAAAGCCGTATACATAACCAAGTCCGTGGGGTTGAAGATCTTGAAAATGTACTAGTGATTGGTATTATGAATATCATAGAATATACAGTTGTTTTGTTTTGTTTTTCTCAAAGAGGCTTTTGCTATAGGGTGCGTGTGCTCGCCAGAAAGAGAGAAACAGAAAACAAGAAATCACCCCCCAGGGAGGATGGCCATGCCACAGTCCCTTCTCCTCCATTCTCCTCTTGGGATCTTGGGCACACACATGCGCCCAAGCTTTATTTTTTAACTGAAGGGGCACTTCTTGGAGAGAGGGGAGAAATGAGAAAGCAACCCCTCTGGGGATAATGGCCACACTGCAGTCCCTTTTCCATTTCTCCTTTCTGGATTTTGGGCACACACAAATGTGCCTGGCATGTATTTTAAGTTGTTGGGTCCAAGATTTGAGCCGGGCAATTGGCCATGTGGGATCCAGCTGCCTTAACCACCATGCCACCAGCCAGCCCAAATATAAAACATTCTAAGATGGTCCTTTATTACACTTCTCTCACAGGATTTACGAAGTTACTTGGCTGGTCATTTGTCTGTTTTCTGCTCCAGAATCTAAACTTGGCAAAAGGAGCAGCCACATTATTCCTCTGAGTGGTGTTAGTCTCCAGGACCTGTCAGAGCCTTTGGCATGTAGTGAGTGCTCCATGTGAATATGTATTGAGGAAATAGTTGTTTCTCTGTTCATCTAGAATGCATTGCTATGTCAATGAGGGACCAACTGCCTTGTATACCTTCCTCAGTTTTCCACCTCCGTTCTTCAAGTATGGTTCATACATCAATTTTTGTTTAAACCAATTGTCGTTCACATTTTTATGAATGTAAATATTCACTGCTAATCTGGATGGTGTATTATGATTGAGTTTTCATTCCCTTAGGTTTTTTTTTTGTTTTTTTGCTTTTTCTTAATGACTTAATTGCCTCATTTGCTTCATTTTATATGAATCTTCTGGGAGCTTTGACCACCTGCCCCAGCAGTTGTCACGTACATCAGTATTTATTTAGAAATGTATTATTACACTGGTTATCTAGGTAGTATCGGTGATCGTTCAGTTTCACTTATCTTTCTAAAAATAGCCTTTTAGATCAGCAGTACAGCATCATCCTGGGACTGCCCTTTGCCTCGCTAGTTTTATATCTTCTACTTCTTGCCTAGTATAGTCCCACACTCTGCTGGTTCATCATCTCCAGAAGTTTCCAGGGAACAGTTGTTAAAAAAAAGTTGTAGTGTTTAGGTTTGGGTATGTATAAAGCATCTCCATTCTCCCATCATACAGAATGAGAGTTGAATATCAAATCCTGGTTTTATAATTATTTCCTACAAAATACCAAATGCATTACTCTGTTGTTTTCTAATTTCCAGTGTTGCCTATTTTTTCTTTTAATAAACATTTGAGGCCAGTTGGAGGCCCTCTGGGTTCTCCATAGCAATACTGAGCATGCTCACAAGGGTTTGGACTCCTATTGTTAGGTCTTATTAAACAGCCATCTTTAAAAGAAAAAAAAAAAAAAACCTGGCACACTGCCATTAACTTATTTTTATGTTTCTTCACAAATGGTAAAAAAATATTAGAGTACAAATAAGGAGTAATCATAATGTTGTGGTCGGCATTAAAAATATGGAATTACAAATTTGAAACATTTTCTGGTTTAAAAAAATCTGGTAGTCAGTGCAGCTCTTGGGGGTCTCTGCACTCCTGATGGTGCTCGCCTTTATCCGTTTTTCCAAGTCCTTTGTATCCGCCGTGTCTTACTCCAGTCTGCTCCATTTAAGAATGTACTCCTCGGGACCAGGAGGTGGTATAGCTGGACTCCCACGTGGAGGCTTGAAAATCACACCAGCCCCGTATGCAGACATGCCCACAGTCCTGAGAGAATAGAGGAGAAGGGATTGTATCCTCCGGGTGGGTGATTTCTTACTTTCCCTTTCTCTGTCTCTCTCCAGTGAGTGCAAGTGCCCTATGGCAAAAAATCTTTAAAAGAAAAAATGTACATCTTTCTGAGTTCTGTTTATTTATATGTGATATGTGGTTGGTTGCTTGCTTTTGAATTTTTGTTATTTTTAGTTAGGAAATATTAAGGTCCTCCCTTTATAAAAGGTTTTACAAAGGAAGTCTTCATCTCTCATAGTATATACATTCTATTTGCAGTTTTTCTATTGGCAGTTTTTAGTTCTTCAGTTCTAGAAACTTTTCTTATGATTCTTTTTAAGTTTCTAACTTCCTTTTTTGAACTTCTGTCATATACTGTTGGACTCTAGATTATTCTTACAAGTGCCTTCTCTTTTCTGTTTGTGTTATATTTTAGGTTATTTCTTCATCCCCCCAATACTGTTTTAATTCACATTTTTATTTTGACTATTCTAAGTTTCTAAGAGTTCTCCACCTCAGTCAGGGGTTTTGTTTTTGGTTTTGGTGTTGGGGATTTGGATTTGTTTCATTTTGCCTTTTTGTAGTTTTGTTTTGTGGATGCAGTATTTTAGCAAAAGGTTTCAAGACATTTTCTAAAATGTTACTCTCTTATAACCTTTGGCCATCCTCACCCCACCTTCCCTCTTTGTACCTTGGCTCACCCTCACTTTCACTTTGAAGGCAGTCCTCAATTATCTTACAAGCCTTTGCTGCCCATTCCTGTTTCAGAGCAGGACGCGCAAACCTAGACTGAAAGCTTGTGTGTGTCAGCAGGGCTTGTCAAGAAAGCAGGCAGCCTGCTTTTTAGATTTCAGTTCTAGGATGTCAGCAAGCTCTTTTACTGGAAGTCTTCCAGACATCAGTACCTGAGGTCTGTCTTCAGGGACCCGCTAGTTCCTTCCTCCCCTGCCTAGTGATTGCACAGGGTGGAGTTCTAGAAGCTACGTAACAGGAAGGCTTGGAGCCCTCGAGTTCAAAGTGCAGACTGTTCTCTCTTCATCCATGATCTTCCAAATGTTTGTTGATTCTGTCATCCATTTTTGTCTGGGAGAGTATACCTTTTCTATGTCTTTACTACCATGTTAGTGGGGTTGCTGGAGAAAAAAGAAACAGAACACAGGTAGTGGTCAAACCACCATGTTAAAACAGAGGTTATTATTATTAAATTATGCCTCCCCCCCCCCATATTTCTTCTCAAGCAGTTCTTACCACCCCCATCAGTGGAGAAAGCTAAAATGTATTCTTTTTCTGGTAAAATCTGTGCCATCACACCTCTTTGCCAAGGTTTGCAGCTCTGATTAGAGTTGCTTCCATGTGACATTAGGGTATAAGAGTAAATTCCAGGCAGATTTATAGTGGATTTTCCATTGGGTCGATGGGTTGGTTTTCTACTCTGTTTATACTTAGACAAGGATATTGGGTTTCTTAGGGGTTTGGTTACCCCCCACCGCCATCACCACAACTTAAAAGAGTTGAAGGTTAAATCAGTTAGTATTTGCATTTTCAGTGAGAAATTACAGGTTGTTTCTGAAATAATAAGTCTGTTCTCAAGTTAAGTGGATTTTTGAAAAGAGGGCCATGATCACTGGTGTTATTAGCAGAGTATCATCTATCGGAGCCGAGTGCTGGCCTTAGGTACCATAGGTTTAATGTGGATTGTCTTTGTTCCCTGGTTCTCTCCTGCCCAACCCTCCCCATTGAAGAGCATTTTCATAGAATTCCAAATTACACATCAGGATCTCTCCCAATCCTGATTTCGTCTAATCAAATGCCAAGTGGCTGAATGACTAAAATGTGTTGTTGGGATGTGGAAATAGCCCCCAAGTTCGGAGAAATACTGGGAATTACCTTGAACTAATTTTTGTGCCTACCCACAAAAACCATTGTATACTTGGTCTTGAAACAGTTCCAAGTCTTACAATCTATTGATAATCAAGAGAAGCCTCAGGTCTCCAACTTTTTCATTCTTTTTCATCATAAATTACTTTACCCAAGAAAAGGTAATCTGCCAAAATTTCTTGTACCAACCAAAATGTAAGAGAATTTATATGAATCTATCATCTGTAAGATGAAAGGTAAATGTAAAATATTTCCCAGATGAAAATCTATAAAGTGTATTCTCTTTCAACTTAGATATTTGCTTCTAATAGATTCTACTAACTTAAGACGCCTTGTCCCCTTAGTAATTAAGAAATAATCAGGAAAGATGTGAGTATGAATTGTTTGTTAATAGACCTTATTATTAAGCAAAGTACGGAAATTTCCCCTGTACTCTGCCTCCCCTATACAGGTCCAACCTCCCTAACTGTCACCCCTCACTGGAGTGCTTCATTGGATGTAATTGGTGAGCCCACACTGACTCATCGGTACCACCCAGCATTCACAGTTCACAGTAGTTTGCTCTTCTCCCCCTCCACAGAGATTTTTGCCATAGGGTTCATGCACTGGCCAGAGACACAGAAAGCAAGAAATCACTCCCCCAGAGGTGATTTCACCACAATCCCTTCATTCTCCTCTCAGTATATCGTGTACACACACACACATACACACACACACACGCACCTGGTGTGAGTTTTGATGCACGGTTGACCACATGGGAATCCTGTGCCTTCACCACTACACTATGTTACCCACCAGCCCCCACAGTAGTCCACTCTTAGTGGTGTACATCAGCATGTGTGTGTTTAAATGACATTTGCTGTAATTGCAGTACAAAAATCGAGAAGGAGAAGAGAGAACATGCGAAGCAGCACGGGATGATCCGCACAGAGATCACAGGAGCTGAGATTGCAGAAGAAATGGAGAAGGAGAGGCGCCTCTTTCAGCTCCAAATGTGTGAAGTAAGAACAGACTTTCTACCATTTGTCCGGATTTTTAGTGACTGCAGTCTTGGGCTAGTCAGCATCTTTATACCTAAAGGCAGGTGGTATTTGATTATTTGAGAAGGGGACTGTTTCTCAAGGATTCTAATCTTCCTTTTTTTCCAAGCCTTTCGGGATCCACCATTACACTGTCTCGTTCTTTGAGCCTTTCCTGTGGGGCTTTTTAAGCCAAAACAGGATTCTTTGGTGAGAAACTTGATGTTGCTTGTGCGTGATGCCATGGTGGGGGTGAGTTGGTGAGAGGTTAACACTGGTGAATAGTGAGTTTTACCAGTAGAAGCTGAGAGCATGTTTTTTTTTTTTTTAACCGTGTGTCCAGTTTGAATGAAACTTTAAATGAAGTATTTATTAGGAAAACCTGAATTCCCAAACAATGCAGTGAAAAGCATGCTACCTTAATGTAGAGCAGTGGTTCTCAAACCGATTTCCCACTGAACACTTGCACTCTGACCTGGAGGCCAACACTTCTGACACCACTGCTCTTGAGTAATGGAGTTCCTTCTATGGCTCTCTGAAATTATTCAGATGCAGGCTTTTCTCTAAGTATATCTCCACTAAATTTTCTTTTCCATCTTTCTTTTTCCTCATAAATCTTGGCTCCTTGAATTTGCCTGCTTATGAATACAGTAAAACTAGTAATCAAGAAGCAAGCAATGTCAATAAACTATCTTGACCAGTAGTAAAATTCAGAACCAGTCATATTTCACTAACTGTATAAATTACTTTTGTTTTTGAAGAGAGATTTTGGCTATAAGGCACATGTGCTCACCAGAGAGACAGAAAGCAAGAAAACACCCCTTGGGAGATGACCATGCCATAATCCCTTCTCTTCTATTCTTGTGATTTTTGGGCACACACACACATACCTAGTACGCATTTCAAGCCACTAGGTCTGGGATTTGAACCAGGATTAACCACATGAGAATCCAGTGCCTTAACCACTATGCCACCTGTTGGCCCCCAACTTGTACAGGTTATTAATAAATTATTTTTCATTTTATTCTTTCATTTTTGAGTAGCAAAAAAAAAAAAATTTCGAATTCACCTTTCTAGCCTAAAAGCTTCAATATCTTGCAGCACATTTCTCAAAAAAAAGGCTCTAGTTTTGCAAAGAACGTTGTTTCAGGTCTTGTTTGCGTGAACTAGAAGTTTGAGATCCGCTGCATTGAGGAGAAATAAGTCAGTTATTCTACAGTGTCTGTGTTTTACTTATGCTTGTCAAGTAAACTAATCATAAAAATGTATAGAAATGCTAATACTCTAAACAGCGCGTTTTGCACCCAATGCATTTGTGACAATGCCAGCGCAGTGTTACCTGATCAAACTCACTTGTGTGAGGGCCACCCGAGGCCCATTAACCTGCGCAGACTCCTGAATGGTGTCCTGCCACCCGAGAGCATGACTGAAGGACCCTGTCTGGAATCATCAACATAAAATTCCGTTTTATTTCCACAGTATCTCATTAAAGTTAATGAAATCAAGACCAAAAAGGGTGTGGATCTGCTGCAGAATCTTATAAAGTATTATCATGCACAGTGCAAGTAAGTAGAATGTTGCAAGCATTGTTATTAGAAGCTCGAGAAAGACTTCTTTGACTCCACTGGTTTTCTTAATTCTCTTTTTTCATTCTGTTGTGATAAAATGATCTTCTGCAACTAAATGGATAAGAAATGGTATTGTCTTCTATCTTCTATGTTTTATGTAAATAGTAGCTCAAATTAAATTAGGGCAGCTCTTCAGTTTCTAGAAAATGCTGTCCTCTTCCCTTCTTTTTTAAGAGAGATTTTTGTTATAGGGTGTATGTGATCACCGAAGAGACAAACAGAAAGCAAGAAATCACACACACACACACCCCAGGGTGGATGGCCATGCCATAATCCCTTCTCCTCCGTTCTCTTCTTGGGATTTTGGGCACGTATACACACGCCCGATCTGAGTTTCAAACCACCAGGTCTGGAACTTGAGCCGAGGTTGACCATGTGGGAGTCCAACACGTTAACCACTACACTACCTGATGCTGATGGCCCCCAAATGGTCATCTGGACAGCCTGTGGAGCACTCATGACAAATGTGTGAGCCCCTGTCACTAAAGAGGCCTTTTTGGTGCCCTCCTCTGCTACCTGGCATTTTATTTCTGATTGGATGATTTGCACCGTGCATGTATCCCCAGATTTGTTTGACTTTCATCTCAATTAAATGAAATTAAATACTTTTTGAGCATTATGAGTACTTGGAGTTTCTACACGATTTCTATGAAATTGGCGTTACATTTGTCTCCTTATATTTCAGGGGCTCCCTCTTTATTATGTTCAGAGTCTGAGACACCACATTTGCTTATTTACTTCTTGCCTACTTATTGGGTTAACTTCCATGTTCCATGGGTTTTCTGGTAGACTGTATGAAAATATGTCAGTCACTATTAAGATCTGTGTTAATTGGTGGACGTTATAGACAATACAGTGAAAGGACCTTCCACAGTGGTCCAGACAGCTCTTATACTGAGGAGGGGGTAGTGAGGGTACTGTGAAAGAGATGATGGTAGTTGGGATTGAACTTGGAGGATGGCTTAAGAGTTGGCTTTTACAGCCTGCCAGAAGTCTCTCACTAGGGCAGAGAGGGATTAGCAGGAGGAAACTCTGCACAGTACAGACCTCCTTTTGGAGAGAGGTGGGAGACATCACTTTGTAGGAATGGGTTATAATAGGATGCAACTATAAGTTGCTACGTGGTTGAACCTCAAGAACTCCTTCACTTGCAAGAAGTCAGGGCAGTTTTCTTTCAAGGACTATTTTTATATTCCTAACTACTTCCACTTTTTTTTTTCCTTAAAAATTATTTTAACTTTATTTTTTAATTTGCTCAGAGAGAGAGAAAGTTAGAAAGCAAGCCTCCAGGTTTGGGACTCAAACCATGGTTGGCCGTGTGTGAGTCCAGCGCCCTTAACCACCACACTACCTGCTGGCCCCCTCCATCAGTTTTTTTAAAAAACTAAATAGATTTTAGGAGTTTGAACCTGTATTCTCAGCTTAAATTTAAAAAAAAAAAAAAAAAATTCTTCTTCTGAGTTCTTATTCCCATTTCCCAAAATGATTTTTTTTTTTTTTTCTGGAGAGATTTTCACTGTAGGGCGCATGCGCTCGCCAGACAGACAGAGAGAGACATAGAGACAGAGAGCGAGAAATCACCCCCCAGGGGGGATGGTCACGCCGCAATCCCTTCTCCTCCATTCTCCTCTCGGGATCTTGGGCACGCACGCACACGCGCCCGGCGTGAGTTTTAAGCCACCGGGTCCGGGACACGAACCGCGGTCGACTACGTGGGAGTCCAGCGACATAGCCATTACGCTAACTGCTGGTTCCCACAAAATGATTTTTAGTACAAAGTTAGTTAGTATGCAACAGTGAACTTGCTCTTGTAACACCTTATGTCATCATAACTCTTCACTGTGGATGCAGCTGCTACAGTGGAAAAATAAAGGGAGCAGAAAGAAGAGCTCTCAGCTTTTTCATACCCATTTCAACTCGCCCACACTAATTGCTCCTCCCTTTCAAATACATACAGTGTCAGTAACATGCTGCTTTCATAACAAACATATTATCTTCTTGCTCACCACAGCTAACAAGTATAATCTTCAGTCAAGAGCATTTACAAACATTACTTTGTTGTCCTTCATCTTACAGACAATAATTAAACCAGAGTGTATAGACCCTGGCAAAGTTCTTTACATGTATTTTCTCATTTAATTTTCACAACAGTCTGAAAATTATAGCTCAGAAAGAAGCAGTAACATGCCCAAAGTCATATTCATTCAATTAGTAGATGTTTGATAAATGTATCAAAATAAATTAAGTACAGGAAACCAAAGAAAAAAATAAATAGGACTTCAAAATTAAAAATTTGGGTCCAGCAGGTGGCATGGTGGTGTTAAAAAATAAAATGAAATAAGGGACCAGCAGTTAGTGTAATGGCTATGTCACTGAACTCCCATGTAGTTGACTGCGGTTCAAGTCCCGCGTGCATGCTCAAGATCCCAAGAGGAGAATGGAGGAGAAGGGATTGTAGCATGGCCACCCCCCTGGGGGGTGATTTCTCGCTTTCTAACTCTTGTCTTTCTGGCGAGCGCACGCACCCTATAGCAAAAACCTTTCCAATCAATCAATCAATCAATTAAAATAAACCAGGTAATTTAATAGAGTCGAGTTTTAATAGAGCAAATCTTAACAGGATTTAAATTGGGTGGTTGTCCCCGGACTTCCGGAAAACTCTGGCTAGCCTCATGGTCAACTTAGTATTTAAGTTCTGGAAAAGGAAAGCGGTGGGTACAGGAATGGGAACGTGATGTACAAAAACAAAAGGGAAGGAATGAGGTAGGGAAACAATTTGGGTTGTTTACCTTCTGAAGTTTGTCTGTATTCACACAGTTTTAAAGGTAGGATGCCTGTAATTGACTGTAACCTACCAGCCAGCCTTGAAAAACAGCCTAACGTGTATGATTTTGGCTTATCCATAGGAATCCAAGTGTGGGAGTACAGTGGGAGTACAGAGCCATTTTAGGCCAAAATAGTCTAACAGTGGTTTAAGTGATGGACTGCTACAGTTTGAGTCCCAGACCTGATGCCTTGCTTTCTCACTTTTCCTTCTCTCTCTGGTCAAAATAAAAAATAATAATAACTAAAATTAAATAAATCTTTAAACATAAATTAAAAACTTGTTTATGAAAGGATACTATCAAGAAAGTGAAAAGACAACCTACACAATAAGAAAAATACTTGAAAATCATCTATCTGTCAAAGGTCTAGTACCTAGCATATAAAAAAACTCAACAACAAAGAGTTAACCTAATTCTTTAAATGTTTAAAGAATCTCAATAACCATTTCTTTTTTTTTTTTTTTTTTTTTTTTGGAGAGGTTTTCGCTATAGGGCGCATGCGCTCGCCAGACAGACAGAGACTTAGAGACAGAAAGTGAGAAATCACCCCCCAGGGGGGATGGTCACGCCACAATCCCTTCTCCTCCATTCTCCTCTCGGGATCTTGGGCACGCACGCACACGCACCCGGCGTGAGATTTAAGCCACCGGGTCCGAGACGTGAACCGCGGTCGACTACGTGGGACATAGCCATTACGCTAACTGCTGGTTTCCTGAATAACCGTTTCTCAAAAAAAGTTATATAAATAGCCCAAAAATTACATAAAAAGATGTTTCACATCATTAGCCATTAGGGAAATGCAAATCAAAACTACAATGAGATATCACTTCATATAACCCTAGGATAGTTATAATTAAACATACACACAAATAAATGGAAAATAAGTCTTAGTGAAGATGTAGAAACCTACAAATTGCTGGTAGGAGGATAAAATGGTACAACTGCTTCAGAAAACAGTTTGTAACAATAAATGTAGAGGGACCAGTAGGTGGTGTGGTGGTTAAGACACTAGATTCTCACGTGACCAACCATGGTACAAGTCCTGGACCTGGTGACTTGAAAATCTTGCCAGGCACATGTGCATGCATGCCCAAAATCCCCAGAGGAGAATGGAGAAGAGATTGCAGCATGACCATCCACCTCTACAAATAATTTCTCCCTCTCTCTCTCTCTCTCTCTCTCTCTCTCTCTCTCTCTCTGCCTCTCTCCTGCAAGTACATATTCCTATGGCAAAAACCTAAAAAAAAAAAAAAAAAAATCACTTATCATGTGACCCAGCAATTCCTCTTCTAGGTATTTGAAAACATTTCAACAAAAGGTACATACATGAATATTTATAGCAGCATTTTTTACATTGTTTAAAATGTGGAAACACCCAAATATTCAACAGCTAATAAAAGAGCAAACAAAATATGGTATATTCACACAGAAAAACATTGAACCATAAAAAGGAGTGTAGTATTATTGTACATGCTACAGTATGGGTGAACTTTTGAAACATGCTCAGTGGTGACTCGGCCTCAGCAGCACTAGTAGTAGGGTGCAGCTGCAGGAGGTTGGGCCATGTGGAAGTTTCTAAACAGGCTGAGCAAGATGCACACCCATATTCTCAGCCAACTGTGAGGCTGGGGCAGAATTGTGACAAGGTGAGACCCTATCAAAAATGCCCCCCATGAAAACAAAAACCATTGTACTAAGAAGCCAAACACAAAAGATGATGCATTGTCTGATTCCATTTACATGAAATGTCCAGGAAAGGCAAATCTATAGAGATAGAAAGCAGATTAGAGGTTGTCAGTGGATAGGGGAAGAGAAAAATAGTGTCATTGCTAACATGTACAGAGCTGCTTTTTGGCAATAAAAATGTTTTGGGATTATATAGTGATGATGGCTATACAACATCCTAAATATGCTAAAAACAACTGAAGAAGCAGTACATTTTAAAATAGTAAACTTGGGGACCAGCACGTGGCATGGTAGTTAAGGCAATGAACTCCCACATGGCCGACCATAGTTGGAGTCCCAGACCTGGCAGCTTGCTTTTTCACTTTCCTTCTCTCTCTCTCTGTCTATCTCTCTAGTCAAACTAAATAGCAATAATAATAAAATAAT